GGTTGATTGTCCTCACTGTCAGGAAGTTTCTCCTTAATTCCAGGTTGCTTCTCTCCTTGACCAGTTTCCAACCATTGTTTCTCGTCCTTTCCTCTGATGATCTGGTGAACGTGACCCCCTCTGCCTTGTGGCAGTCCCTCAGATACTGGAACACTGCTATCATGTCTCCCCTGTTTCTCCTTTTCTTTAGACTAGCCAATTCCAGGTTCCGCAGCCATTCTTCATACGTTTTGGTCTCCAGGCCTTTAGTATCTCATGACTGTCACTGAATATTATACCTATAATTTACAATTTGTATTTTATGATTATGATTATCACTTGTTGCTTGCATGTACACAGAGCTTATGCACCAGAGATAAATTCCTTGTGTGTGTCCAATCACACTTGACCAATAAAGAATTCTAGAAATCGCTGCCAGTGGAGCCACCTTTAGCAGACCCACTTCTAGTTTTAGAAATTAGGTGAAGATTTTTCAAGCTTAATCAAATGTTTTAGTGATTAGAAGACCAATATCTTTGTGAAATGTTCTGCCCGTGGTCTGATCTTTCATAATTATTTTCGTTCTTTAGGTTTCAGTTTAGATTTCCCGTACTTTATTCTAGAATTATTCAGAGCTGCCCAGAGTTGCCTCGAACTGCTAATGGGAGGCATACAAATTTAATAACTAATAATAAAAAATTAATAATTACGGTAGCCACGATTCAGAAGCTGTGTCTGAAGCCAAGATTTGGAGCTTAGACTGGATGTAATGCTTCATGAAATAATAAAAACAATGATAACCTGGGCAGACATTTGTTTTTCTTCAAGTGACACTGAACTGGAGATTACACCATTTTTAAATGACTACATCTCTCATTGGGAGCACCGGTATCAATATTTCTTTACTAAATATATATTCAGAGAAATGGGGCAGTTGAAATCCTAAGGGTCATCCAGAAAGTATGGAACAAAATTGCTTTTCTAAATTGTCTAATGCTCATATTCCTTTGTCTCCCTCCTGTTATGATTAATTCAGTATCTTTGCCTAGTAATTCTGTTGAGGGGGAGGTTAAATCAGGCTAACGTTTGTTCTGTATTCTCTGCTTTGGCTAGGATGTGTTACCTAACAAAGCTGATTATTTTTTCCCCTCAGAGTTGGAGAAATGATTTACGTTCTTCATAACTCCCTCCCAACGTTGCCACTGATTTTTTTTTTTAAAAAAATCCCTGATCTTCCAGCAGGGCATGGTGAAGACTTTCTGCCTCTGCAGAGTTTTGGAAATACCAAAATGGAGAAAGAAGGAAACCATTTTCTGTGGTAAAATGGCTTTTTACACGGACTGGCCTTTTCTCTAAGTGCAGAGAAGAGCAACAAAGATGATCAGGGGACTGGAGGCCAAAACATATAAGGAACGGTTGCTGGAATTGGGTTTTATGAAGAGAAGGATGAGGGAGGAGATGATAGCAGTGTTCCAGTATCTCAGGGGCTGCCCCAAAGAAGAGGGAGTCAAGCTATTCTCCAAAGCACCTGAAGGCAGGACAAGAAGCAACGATGGAAACTAACCAAAGAGAGAAGCAACCTGGAACTGAGGAGTTAGAACAATTAACCAGTGGAACTACCTGCCTCCAGAAGCAATGAATGCTCCAACACTGGATGTTTTAAGAAGAGACTGGACAACCATCTGCTTGAAATGGTATAGAGTTGCCTGCTTGAGCAGGGGTTGGACTAGACCGCCAAAGTCCCTTCCAACTCTGTTATTCTATGTAGCTGCTGGAGTTTCAACCTCATATTGGGTTTCTGTCAAGGATTTTTAAGGCTATCTCATTTCTATTTTAAACCCTCAACTTGAATAACCTCGGCACTTACTTCTGTCACTGCTATCCTTCTAGAAAATTGCATTAGGCACTCATTTCTCCGAACCAAAATCCGAGACAAGCAAAACAAGAAGAATGGATGGATGTAGACCCACGGCGGTGGAGGAAAAGTCTTGTGAATGCATCACCGAACTTGCCAAAGTGAGTGAATAAAATATTTTTAGAGGTACTCCATCTCTTGAGTTCTAAAAAGAAAAATCAGCAATCGGCAGCAGTTTTCCGAATACAGAAAAGTTGAGTAGATACATTGAGTAGTACATGCAACAAGTAAAACACTAAAAGTAAAATGCTGCCAATAATTCCCAAGGAGTTCAGTGGTGCTTATTCTTGGGTAGATACACACAAGCACTGTTATGTCTCCATCTGAGCATCGTGTTTGACAAACTACTATGCTGAGGACAACATAACATTCATTATTCCAGGGTCTTCAAAGATGGAAGTTTATCACTGGCAATGTAAAAAAGCCTCAAATTAATATGTTTTAACCATATGGGGTCTTAAAAGTGATTATTGGTGCACACCTTTTGTAAATTTAGAAACAAATACACATTATGAATTGGAAGAGTTTACATTTGCAAAGTTCTGAAAGGATTTTCTGTCCAAGTTAAATTGGAAAGCTATTTATTACAAGGTAAATCCTTTAAAATTAACTAACATTAACTTTAAAACCCATGGCTGTTTTAGAAAGTGGTCAAAGAGAATATATATTTTTTTCATTAGTGCTGTGTCCATGTTTTTAGCATAAGAGATTTTGAGAGCTACAGTTGAAAACCATCTCAAGAACTAGAGATTCAGTTAGCTCCTCTTATACATCAGAATACTTGATGGATACAAACAGACATATGTTATAACACTCTGCTGGAAAACGGTTAGTTTTACAATCGTTGGCTTTTCGGATGCATTAGAAATACTGCTAATTTAAAAAAGATTAAGAATTCATTTTAAGCCTTCTGGTACAACTTAACACTGATATTGCAAACAAATGGAAAACAACAGGTATTAGAGAAAAGTCTCGACACAATCAAGCTTGGAACATTCTGACATAGATCAAGAATATATTTCACCAAATAGAAGAGATTTTGCATTTGGCACACTGGCAGGGTCACAAGAAATATATAGAAATGCGAAACAAGGCAAAAGAAATGAGATACGCCATCTCTTCAGACATGAAAGTTGAAGTTCATTTTCGACATGGCTCAATTTAAGATTCTGGCCACTGCAGACAAAGTATACATTAAATAATACGTTATTTCTGATCTCAGCCAATATTCCTGGTCAGTGGGATGGCGGTGAAGATAATGAAGATGGAATTTGGCAAATGCAATAAGCCTGATGCAAATAAGACCCTATTCCTTCACTGAGGCAACCAAGTACAATGTGTAGACCAGGGGTCTTCAAACCTGGCCCTTTTATGACTTATGGACTTCAATTCCCAGAATTCCTCAGCCAGCGTGCCTGGCTGAGGGCCAAGTTTGAAGAGCTCTGGTGTAGACACATCCAGGAGGGTTTCTGGTGTGATGACATTCAGATACATCACCCATCTCAGGATGCTTTGCTCTCAACAGCTCAAGAGGATCCTAGATCCTTGAATTCACTCATTCCATACTGATGGGAAGTTGGTGATCTAGTTTTTTGAACCTCCCATCATCAAAAGATGGAAGGAGATGAATAATCTGGCTAGTGTTGTTTTGAGAGCTATTCCTACAGTTGAGGAGGGGGGGGGGGCTTGGTGATCTCCAAGCTTGGTTATTTTCTTGCAAATATTCCATTACCCAATGAACATCATCAGTGCTAGACTAGGCTAGCACTGATGATGTCATCTAGTATGGATAATGAAACATCTGCAAGCAAACAGCCAAACTCAGAGAGCACCCAGGACCCCTTATTCCAACCCTGAGCTATAAATATTCTCCTTTATTGGTACAGTTGAGGTCCTCATCTACCAAGTGAAGCTAGCTTGGAGAGATGAAATTATCCTGGAAAAGGGAAGCAGACTATTGATTGGTGATTCTTCATCACAGTTAATGATGGAGCTGTTCAAACAAGCAGGAGTGCCCAGCAATTGTTTGGGTTAGCAACCCCCGCTTGAAGTTGTAAGCTCTACTTTCTTATATAACACTTTTGATATTTTTTCACAGCCAAAAGTAAAAGCAGATGCACATTTTGAAAGTATAGGATCATGGAAATAACCATAGAGGTCATCTAGTCGAAATCCGTCACTCGGAGTAAATTTCACTAGAACATTTCTGATGACCAACCAACCACTATCTGAAGATCTCCAGTGAAGGAGGCCTGGATGACAACTCATAAAGTCTGGAAGTTCTTTGATATCTAATCTAAACCACCACTTTGTTGCTTTAACCACTGATCCTGCTCTCTGGAGCAACAGAGAATAAGGCCATTCCCTTTTCTATATAACCTTCTTCAAGTGTCATGTCTCATCTGCAGCTAAACTGTTGCCATGATGGCACAGTGGTTAGAATATAGCATTAAAGGCTAATTCTGCCAAATGCCAGCAGTTCGATCCTGACCAGCTCAAGGTTTACTCAGCCTTCCATCCTTCTGAAGCTGGTAAAATGAGGACCCAGATTGTTGGGGGCAAATTGCTGACTCTGTAAACCACTTAGACAGGGCTGTAAAGCCCTGTGAAGTGGTATATAGGTCTAAGAGCTATTGCTGTTGCTAAACATACCCCCGTCTTTTAATTTTTTCTCATGGAGCTTTATTTCTGGACCCTTCATTGTCTTGATAGCTCTCCTCTGATCTGTTGTTTTTTATGTTCTGAACTCTGTGCTGAGACAAATCAGTACTTTTCTTTTTACAGATGCATCACACTGCTTGTATTTTCGTATTTTCCTTGTGGTTGACAAGGGCATCCAATCCCTCCCGCATATATTACCATCAACTCAGATCTCCCTGTCTTGGCCATGTTGAAAGAAGCCATTTCCATTTAAACCAAAACCCTTCTAGTCAACAAACATTCAGTGTAACCAGGTCCATATTTTCATAGAAAAGGGTATCCAAAGAGTTCACCTTTCACTGATCTAAGAACGTGTAAAAGTTTTTTGCTTTGTTTTGTCAAGCATGTCGCGTGGCAATAATTTATCTCTGTCCCATGCACCTGAGGAGTAATTTCTGAGAAGTAATTCATTCTCCTAGGACAATTTTAATAACGGTTTTGGAACAGGCTTAATCGAACGAATAGTGTTTTCATACAGTAGTGTAAAGTTTGGGCTGGGATCAAGGGGGATTTTAAAATTAAATGGTCACCACCCCTGATCCCCTATGGGGTGCTGTGATCCCCTTGCAAAAAGAGAAAGAAAATGTGCAAACTTCAAAGCACAAAGCTCGGTGACAGTAAAGGATTTGTCCTACATTTACTTGGCAGCTTGGAAACATCTGACATTGATCAAGAAGCATTTCCTACACTTCTTCAGCTGTCCCCAAAACTCCATAGTGTTGCTGAGAATTCTGAGATGCCCAATTCATGCAGGCAATAGCCAACTTGTTGGGCTACAAACCACACTTCCCGTTTGGCACTCCTTTTCGGTTAGCTGTCTTCTCATCCAAGAAACCCTCATGAGCTTCTGAGGAGCTCTTAACCAGCCCACAGCTCTGTTAACAGTTCCATTCCCCGCTGCTGCAGTCACCATTTTCATCCTCATCCGAGTCAGCTGAGACCTTCTTAATCCTCTGGATGGCTGCCTTGATGCTTTGCTCCAGTTCACTGCCGGAACCCTTCGCGACGCCTTCCTTGGGCTCTTGATTGACCTTCCGTAGTTTAACCCCTTGCCTAATGGCAGCGAGAATGCTGTCATTGACAGAGTTGCTGCTGGACGACGCCTGTTGGGGCAGGTCCACTTTGCGAAGAAGGACTTCGCCACGCTTCAGGGAAGCCAAGACCTCATCCATGGTCCCTGAGGTGGAACAAGTGAAAACAATGTCATTCTTGGACCAAATAATAATAATAATAAATCCGAGGAGAAGGTTACCTAGGGCAGCCTTGTGTGGGCTTACAAACCTGGTTTTGTCAAAAACAGAACTGCTTATCGGTCTACAATTTCCCAAATGTAGCATTCTGTTTTACTTTACGGCCAATTATTGTGGAATAATTTTTATGGCTTGTTTCTTTTGATACTCTTATTTTTATTGTATGCCTCCCAGAGTCTCATTTACTTGATCCCCTTTGGCACCTTCTGACAAGCAAAGTCAATGTGGAAGCCAGGTTCACTTAAAAAAGCTTGCTACTAATTTAACAACTGCAGTGATTCACTTAACAGAGGTGGCCAGAACAGTCGTAAAATGGGGCGAAGCTCACTTAACAACTGTCTCCCTTAACTATAAAGTTTGACCTCAGTGGCCATAAGTTGAGGGCTCCCTGTAGCATGCGTGTGTGTTTGTGTGTGTGTGTGTGTGCAGAAGAAAAACAGCGCTCTATCCCTTTACCTGTATAATTCTTGGTTGGGCATCTGGATGCAACATCTGCTTTCTCCAGGGAAGTATTTTCTTTAGCAGAGCCTTCGCACACAAGAGGCCGCGGTTTATCTTGGGCGCCTGTGCTTTTGAGGCAAACAGTCTGGACACTTGGCAGCGGTGGGGGTGGAGGAGGAAGAGGAGGTGGAGGTGGGGGTGGGGGCACAGAGAGGGGTGCCCCACCGCCTTCTTCCTTGGGAGGCTCCGGGCCACGTGTTGGCACAAAAATCTGGATAGGAGCATCTCTGGGAGGCTTCCGACATGGTGCTTTGGCAGTCCTGACTTGTGCCGGATGGACATTCCTGGATTGCTTGGCAGCTGGACCCTTTCTGATTGAACCAGCTTGTGGGGAAACCGCGGGAGGTCGTCGTGGTCCAGCCTGCTTGGAGTTGACGGGCTGAGAGCGGGAAGTCTTCAGCACAAACTCTGCAGGGCATTTCTGCAAGGTGAGAAGGCGTCAGTTTGGGGAAACTGCCCATGACTGGCAGCCCAATTTGAAAACAGCAGGTGAGCTGCCTGCAATTAGTCCACTGTGGCCGTCAAACCCTTGGACATCCCAAAAGTGCTTTTCCAAAAGGTAATTGGACTTCCTTGGGTTTTTTTTTCCTTTCGCTTCTCATCCAAGAAGATTCTTCAGTTCATTGAGAACTGAAGAAGCTTCTTGGATGAGAAGCAAAATGTTTTTCAAGGGAAAAAAACCCTGCCTTTTGGGAAAGCACCTGTGGTGCAACCATCACCTGGATGATTGAGAATCTCCATAGACAAACCCATAGATAGGGTTTTCCATATCCCATGGGCTTCTAAGAGTCCTGATGGTCTTCACATAACATGCTCAGCCAGCTCAGTGAAAGGCCTAACAGTGTCATCTGTTTTGACATGTAAAGCTGGATGTCATCTGTTTTGACATGTAAAGCTGTAAAGGGATGAAACCTTGAGGAGGTTTGTTCTGGCTTAGTATGATTTTTTTCAATCCAGCCCTGTCTGTTTAGTTTATGACTTGATGTACATGACTGTAAACTAGGTGGAGCTTCAATCTGTTCTAGCAAGTCTCTTATTTAGAATTATATCCAGAAGGCGTGACAGCCACCCAGCAGCAACTAGAAAGGCGTCATTTCCCCCCCCCCACTGTTAAAGCAGCTCTTTGTGTCGAAAGATGAACTTTATCATTTTCCTGTACATGCCACTTCCGTTATGCTTTCATTCCAATATTCTCTTCCTAAACCACAGGAGCATAGTCTGCATCAAGGTGACACTGATTAAATTCTGCGCAAAACCTATTGATGCCCTCCTTGTGGTTCCTAAATCCATAGTTATTATCTCATGATTGATGCTGTCCTTGTGGCTGGCCAGGCCAGGCCACTAATAATCAGTCCTTCTTTCTATTTTCCAAAGCAAAAATATTCTGCAAGAGTGCCGAAGAACAAGATAAATTGTGATACTTGCCTCCTTGAATGATTTTAGCCTCTCCAGAGTTTTCTGCCGCTCCTCCTTTATCCAGGCTTTTTTCTTTTTCTCATCTTCTTTTTTCTTCTCTCTTTTCTGCAGGTTGAATGACAACCCTTAATGGACACATATAGAACTCTGTTTCCAGTGCAACTAAGTAGTTTCAAACATTACAGTGTTAAGGGGGGGGGTGTAACAGATTGCCTAAATTATGGAATGGGCTGGGGGAGGGGAGAAGAGGAAGAGAAAAAAGAAAAAGGGGAGAAATTAAGGGTGTTGTGCAGTATTTCTGATCTGATTTCCAAAAACTGCTCTGGAATCTGCCACACCTGAGTGCCACACCTGAAAGCAGCTGTGAAAGGCAGATGTGCAATCTCAGGAAAAAGCGTGGCTGTTTTAAGGAGTTACAGACAGATGCTATATTTGCACTCTTGCATGAAGCATTAAAAAAAAAAAAGTGCTGCCTAGCCCTGGAATTTATATAGAATTAATTATGAGTCTACATAAATACCTCTTCCCTTAGCAGTTGATTACCTTGTTTAGATTCTCGTTTGTTGGTCTGGGACCATAAATAAATGTTGTTATTATAACTGTTGTTGTTGTTGTTAGAATTTCCCATGAGATCCACCCACTCATAAGCAATCCTAACGTATATCTGCTTGGAGCAAACCAAAGCGCACACAATGAAGCTTGCTTAGAAATGAACAGATTGTGCTCTCAGCTCCAAATTCCAGAAAATTAAAAGTCTGTAGTTAAGAGCAACATATAAATGGGATCACTCTAAAGAGGTAAAGGTGGCTCCTGTCCAGTTGTGTTCGACTCTAAAGTGCAGTGCACATCTCTTGTTTCTTGGCTGAGGGAACCAGCGTCATCCCAAGATGTTTCCGTGGTCATATGACCAGGATGACTATATTCTAAAGTGCACAGAACGCTGTTACCTTCCCACCAAAGTGGTACCTATTTATCTACTTGCATCTGCAGGCTTTCAAACTGCTAGGTGAGCAAGACCCGTCGTGCGGTGCTCAGGTCTCAAACTCGGACTGTCAGCTCTCCAGATGACAAGCTCAGCGTCTTTAACCACTGAGCCATTTTGCCAGTTTATAACCCGCATATACCAGTCTATATCAATCTATACCCCCATCAAGTTGTGGGGTACCACAGCTTCCAATTAACGGGTGCCTTTTCGGTTTTGAAATAGCACATAGCCATCATCCTGTATTATGAAGGCTACCTAGACTGCCTTCAAAATAAAATAAAATAAAGTCTGCATTTTGTTGCTTTTTTGCACAGAGCACACTGACCCCTCTTATAACTTGAAAGAGAACACTCTCTCTACTTTCCCCTTCTCAATACATACAATCTGGACGCTGTGATGCTGCTGGAAGTAGCGTGTGGTCTCCTGTGCCTGCTGGAGCCTCAAACGGCGGCTCTCTTCACATTGGTCCTGAGAGAGGAAAGAAACCAGCGTAAAAATTCCACGGGCCGAAATCTGAAGATTCGGGGGCAAATGATTTACCATTGAATCAGAATGTCAGGGTCATAGTTTTCAACTTTCTACTTGCCCTGAACTTTCTAAAAAAAAAAAAAGTCAAGCCCCCACACAAAGGATTATGGGAAAAAGACATAACTTAGAATCATTTGCGAACAAAATTGTTCCATCTCCAGGTGGGGATGGAAAACACCCTTGTTTGCAATTCTGAAGAGTTTCTCCCAACTGGTGATAATCAGGAGCTTGGTGGGCCAGCATCCTGTTGAAAAAAAATTTCTACTGAATCTCTAATGGTCACTTCCAGCCAAGAAAAACTGATTCTTGACTGACTCGCATTACTTAGATCTATATTGCATGGGGAAAAGGGTTAGATTACGTACAGACTCTTGCTAACTGGTTGTATGTACTTTAGCCCCTGTTAATCAGCAGTAGGTTAACACTGGGCCTCCTTCATGCCTTTGATCCTCTCTCCTGACCCAAGGGAGGCACGAATCCCCTGCCTCCACTTAGCTTAATAATTATTCCTTAATAAAAGGAATAATTGGGCAAATAGCCATCCCCAATGCCAGGTCAAGTGAAATCCATCAAGCCTTTTTTTTTTTTACAGCTCTACAAATTCCATGCAAAAAGAATCAACGTTTCTGCCCGAATTCCCAAGTCCATATTTTTTAGACTCTTTTCTAATGTATGAATGATTGTCCTAGTGCAGCAGTTCTCAACCTATGGGTCGCGACCCCATTTGGGGTCGATCGACCATTTTTCTGGGGTCGCCAAAGGCGGTGATCCGCCATTTTTCGCGGCGCCGCGCATGGGGGGTGCCGTGCACGCGTGCCGCGCATGGGGCGGCGCCGTGTGCGTGCCGCGCATGGGGTGGCGCGCATGCGCATCGCGCATGGGCGGTGCCATGCATGCGCAGAACGTTTGTGTGACGGGGGTTGCCGTCACACAAACGTTGAGAAGCACTGTCCTAGTGTTTAATTTACACACATTTTTTTAAAGAAACAAAAAACAACAGGAGTTACAGGGTCTGAAATCTTGGAGTTATGGATAACAGGGATCCAAATTCAGCTATCCTCAGACAGCCTGTGAGCCTCCAATCTTATTGGTTGGTTTGGTTCCCGGGATCTTTCCTTCATCACAATATGGGATGGTTACGCTTGGAGCTGAAGTTCTGCAACATCTGAACTCCATATAGTTCAGAGATGTTAGGTCTAAGACAGGGGTCCCCAACCCTCAGGCTGTGGACCAGTACCGGGCCGCGACATGCCAGAAACCAGTCCGCACAAACAAGCAAAGCCCCATCTGCGGGGTGCTGGCAGCACACAAAACCATGCATTCTCCGGTCCGCAGAAAAACCCGCTCTCCACGTAACTGGTCCCTGGTGCCCCAAAGATTGGAGACCTCTCGTCTAGGAGATGCTGTTTTCCCAAGGTGGGAAATCCACCGCCTAAATTCTGTTTTTCTTTCAAGAAGAATCCAGAAGCACCCCAAGACTCAACAGATGTGCCACGTTTGTCAAAGTTTCCTCTTTCTGAACCAGTTACCTTCTTGTTCCTGAGATATGCCCTCCTAGAGCAGATAATGCCCCGTTTTGTTTCCAGCTGCTGGGTCTTCTGCCTGAGCCGTGCCACCTCAGAAGAAGAGGCATGGCTATCTTCCAGGACCCGATCCATAGCTTCTAATTCCTCCGAGTTTTCACAGGTGTCATAATAAATCACTTCATCTTGGATCTCTATAGAAGGAGCAAGGATTTCAGTACGTAAAACCTCTCCTGCCAGCTTTACCGCCTTGCTAGAAAACTCAAGACATTCGCTGATAGTTGTGGTCCTTTAACTCCAGCTGAAGACTTGGGGCATATGGTAAACAACCAGAAGTCTTTCAGATCCACTAATATAGTATCTAGCATCTAGTGTCAACACTGCTAATATTGAATATTCTTGCTTTGACAAAATATGCAGAACTGTCTGGTATTTTTAGAGTTAATTCAGATGACAGAGAAAAGGAAGGGGAAATAACAAAAGCCTGGGAAAAGGAAAGGAAGTGAATCCCTGCCCTCTGGGCTAATTGGAAGATGTGACTTGTGACTGCAAGGTAAGGGAGGGGTTTAGCAAGAAAAGTTAGATGCCAGCAAGAGGAATTCAGATTCTGGCATAAACCTCCATGATGTGCCGTCAATTTGTAACACTGTTAATAAAGGCTTTAGGATAAACATGCCTGGAAGTTCTTTGAAGTGTTTCATTAGTCGGAACCATGACATCTAGTGCCTAATGGATCAATATTAGGAGCAATGACTGATTTTCCATATACATCCACTGTAAATGGAGAATAGTGGCATCTGCAAAGGGCAGGCACAATGGTGATATATTTACAAAAGGGCGGGGCTTCCATCGTGACAGTTCATCTTTATCTTGCCTGTTTCAACAAGCTGCTGGAGGAAGATTTATTTTGTGTTTTCCAGATTGGTATGTTTTGATTGCATTAGTAATACCTGGGGAATTATGTCTATGGAGATTCTCAATCATCCAGGTCAAGGTTGTCCCAAAGAGGCTTTTCCAAAAGCAGCTGACTTTTTTGGGTTTTTTTTCCTTGAAAACTTTTCACTTCACATCCAAGAAGCTTCGTCAGTTTTGAAGAACTGTAGAAACTTCTTAGATGAGAAGTGAAATATTTTCAAAGAAAAAACAACAACAACAAGAAAGTCCAGTTGCCTTATATGGAAAAGCATCTTTGGGACCCGGAGAATTAGATAATGCAGTGCCTTAAGGCCTGGCTATAATTAAGAGATTGGAAAATTAAAAACCTCCTTTTTTGTAGTTTCTTTTCTGTGGTTTTTAAAAGAATCTTAAATTTGGAACAGTCAGATTTAAATGGTAGATTCTGTAGATAAATGTTACCTATTTTCCACTGCAATTTTCTCTGACATGTTTTTTCCCCCCCAAGCCTTTACCCCTCCATCCTCCATAAATGCATTTATTGCAGAAATGCAGCAAAGGAAGAATTCTCCTGTTTTAATTGAGGGCCAACGAGAAATAGCCTGGCTGAGATTAAAATGCAAAGCACAGGCAATATAGCCTGTCTTCAGTCCTCACCTTTAATTTGCCTTCTCAAAGTCTCCAGCTGCGTAACCAACAACATTTCTTCATTCTTCAGTATTTCAAACTGTACCTCATACAGCTCCAATTGGGTTTCATAATACTCTAGTTCCAGTTTTTCCACTTCAGCCACGTCATTTTTTTGCTCACTGAGTGTCTCCATCTTGGGAAATTTCCAAACAAAACAGGAAACATCTTTAAGGCCACAAATGTTACATGCAAAATGAGACCTTTGGGAGAGGCTGGTTGAGATGATAATGGTGGACAACTCTGTAGCTTTCTAGAAGTTGTAGGATTATCTGGATCCTAATTTTCAGTCCCAATCCAGATCCAGGCATAGGATAGATATGGTTTTGCATGCTCTCCTACATGACCTGGATAGAGGTAGTACACTTTTTCTGATCCTTTTAGACTTCTTAATGGTTGATATCATCTGCCATGATATCTTGCTGGACTGCCTGGAGCAGGCGTCTTCAAACTTGGCCCTTTTTATGACTTGTGGGCTTCAACTCCCAGAATTCCTCAGCCAGGCATGCCTGGCTGAGGAATTCTGGGAGTTGAACTCCACAAGTCATAAAAGAGGGCCAAGTTTGAAGACGCCTGGATTAATCCATCACAAGTACATAAGGAAAATCTAACTATAATCAAGTTCCTTTGTCCCAGTTATATTTTTCTAACATTTGACTTCACGGGTTGGTGTTCTGCCCATTTTTTCTTCAGTTTCAGTGCTATTACGGCAAATGGACATTCTGTGTCACAAAAGGCCTCTTGTAATATACTCTGAAAGCCTCTTATCACAGTCTTATCAGAGTATGGATGCATATGGCAGAGGGGAACAGGGAGTGGGAGAAATATCCTTACCTGCTTTCTGATATCGACTCTTTTGTGTTTCAGGCACAATTCTCTGGCTCTCATATGCTGAAGGGTTTCTTTTGCTAGCAGATATTTTAAGTTTTCTAATCTTGGAGATGCGGAGGCCCAGGCAGCTTGACCAAATCGCTTTTGATCTTGCTCCATCTGTTTGTGCATTGCTGATGAACAAGTACGAAAGACAAATGAAGCACGAGTAAGTCTCGGCTAAAAAAGAATCTTGCACTTCCTTCTCCAGGAAAAGGAAAGCATCTTTAAGGTATATAAGACGGGAAAAGATATGGCCCAATAAAGTACGCTAAACAACTCTAAGAATTCATTTTAAACATTTGTTATGAATCTTCTTCTTCTTCTTGTGCCATATCCGTTATCGGACGTTGGCGATCATGTTGGTGATCCTGTTTTTATTAGCAGCCGCCCAAAAAAGTGCTGCTGAGTTTTGTCCAAACCAGTCCCTTAATTTTGAAGCCATGATGTTCTTCTTCTGCCTAGACCTCGTTTGCCTTCAATCTTTCCCTGGAGGATTAAATGGAGTATGCTGTATTTTTCTGGGTGTCCGAAATATTCTAACTTTCATTTTTTAATTGTTTTGATGATTTCCCTTGGCTTTCCCAGGCAGCTTGTTATGAATGGAATATACAAAGAGAGAAGGTCAAAGAACACAAGGCAGACCCAGAAAAAGATGGAAAGAAATTAACTGTGGCTGAGGCCACAAGAAGGGCAAGAACCAGAACTTTGTGGAGGAGGAGGAGGAGGAGGAGGAGGAAGAAGAAGAAGAGAAAAAAAGAGAAAAGAAGAAAAGAAGAGAAGAAGAGAAGAAGAAGAAGAAAAGAGAAGAGAAGAAAAAGAAAAGAAAAAGAAAAGAAGAAAAAGAAGAAGAGGAGGAGGAGGAGAAGAAGAAGAAAAGAAAAAGAAAAAGAAGAGAAGAGAAGAAAAAAAGAAGAAGAAAAGAAAAAGAAAAGAAGAAAAAGAAGAAGAGGGGGAGGAGGAGGAGGAGGAGGAGGAGGAGGAGGAGGAGAAGAAGAAGAAGAAGAAGAAGAAGAAGAAGAAGAAGAAGAAGAAGAAGAAAAAGAAGAAGAAGAAGAAGAAGAAACAATAACGAACGGAACTAGGAGTTGCTGAGGAAAGCAATTGTTACAATCTCTTGATTTCAATATATTTAGAAGAAGGGAGCAAACAGATTCCAAAAGCACTGATTTTCCATATACCATACCTTGGTTATACCTGCTCTCCTAGCCTGGCCTATATTGCCACCACGGCCACCACTTTAGATTTTCTCCATGAAAGTCTGTTGTGCTTGTTTCCCTCTCACCTGCGAGTGCAGTCACGGTCTCCTTGAAGTAGCCAACGGTGACGTTTTGAATGGAGCACACGGCTTCTTCTGCCCGATCGGTCGATTCCTTGGCCTCTTTCTGCAACGCTTCTATCCTTTTGGGGCCCAGTCGGTGGGCTTGCAAGGATTTCTGCCAGGAGAGATATTTTAACATTCCTGTTCAAACTGGTGCCGATCATCAATTCCCACAACCAAGAGGCGGCTCTTAGAGCTGCTGCATTCATCTATTAACATAGCTTCAGCCATCATTATGTCTTATGCCAGTGGTTCTCAAGCTTTTTAATGCCACGACCCCCAACCGGTTGTAAGTGGAGGACTACTCAACCGGTCGTAAGTCGAGGACTACTCAACTGGTGCAGCACCATTTGCAGAATGGGACTTTTGGCAGGCTCAGCAGGGCAGAGACAGCCTGGACAATTCCTATTGGCTTTTGAAAGCCAATAGAATTAGACTCTATTCAAGAGAGTCTATTCTATTGGCTTTCAAAAGCCAATAGAATAAAAGGGAGTAGCACAGCTAAGGAAAAGGGGGGGGAATGGTGGACTGCGTTGTTTGGCGACCCCCGTGAAATGGTCGTTCGACCCCAAATGGGGTCCCGACCCACAGGTTGAGAACCACTGTCTTATGCAAATGGGAAACAGGTTCCAAGGTGGAGAGATGTCTCTGCAGATTCTCAATCATCCAGGTCACGGTTGTCCCAAAGTTGCTTTTTTCAAAAGACAACTAGACTTTCTTGCGTCTTTTTTTTTTCCCTTGAAAACATTTCGCTCCTCACCCAAAAAGCTTCTTCAGTTCTGACTGAACGGTGAGGAACAGACAGATTTATATTCTTTGCAGTCATCTGGTTGTTAGCACTCTGAAGGTTGGTTGTTAGTTCTCTGGGAGTTGTTGAGGCCATTTGGGTGTTTACTGGTATCCTCAGAGTCAGTCAGAACTGAAGAAGCTCCTTGGATGAGAAGTGAAATGTTTTCAAGGGAAAAAAAACCCCAAGAAAGTCCCATTGCTTCTTGGGAAAAAAAGCACCTTTGGGACAAGCTTGAGAGAGAGATGGAGTCCGATTCTTGTGGTCCATATAAATTGCAGCTGAGCAGATTATCCAAGAAAGCAGAAGTCATACTGTTTGAAGTGAACACACATAGTCCACATGTTGGTTTTCAAGAAACAAAATTTAGTTTTCTCACACACAAGTGAGCTTGTTCCCATGAGATTTCTAACTTTATCAGGAGAGGGTGGGTTAGCGCAGGGGGCGAGGACCAATGGAAATTAATCTCCAGGGGAAATATTGCTCAGCAAAATACAAAGGCCGCAAACTGCCCATCCCAGTGATGACGAACCTTTTAGAGACCGAGTGCCCAAACTGCAACCCAAAACCCACTTATGCATCGTCAAATGCCAGGTGGGCATGGCCCATTGGGTGGGCGTCACTGCAGTGGTAATTGCAGACTGGGTGGGACTAAAAAGTTCAATCAATCAATTCCAACTTTGCAAGTTCTTTTTTTTTTTTTCCTGCGAGAAGTTGAAATTGACTGATTGAAACTTTTTTTTTTTTTTTGCATACGGCAGGTGAGGCCTCAAGCGAAAAGGTTTTATAAAACCCAGCTGAAAGCCTAGGACTGGGGCAATGGCGCGCGTGCCCACAGAGAGGGCTCTGAGTGCCGCCTCTGGCACCCGTGCCATAGGTTTGCCATCACTGGCCTATCCCAAATCAAACCTGCATTTGGTGCTGATGCATTGTAAGCCCTAGTTGTTTTTTTCTGACATCCCCCTTGAATTTTTAATTTTGTCAGATGAAGAATCTCCAAAACTCAAAAGCAGGATAGCAAGATGAAAAGATGATATTACCTATTGTACAAAAGTGGGAATTTCTGAAGGGATATTTTATAATATGAAAAGCTACAGGGTTTGAAATCTGTACATCCTTAAGACTTGGAATAATTTTGGGGTTGTTGTTTTTTTTTGAAAGAATACAAACTTACCCGAATCTCAAGTCTATATAATGTGGCCAGTTCTCTCATGTCTCGGAAAGGTAACAATAAATATTGATAGAATTCAGTTGCCACAGTAACCAGCTCCCAATAGGCTTCCTCTTCTTCCTTGTACAGCTCCATTAAATCTACCAGCTTAACAGCATCTTTGTGCTTGTGGAGAATCTACCAAGATGGTAATAAAGTTTGAGAATTTAGAATAGAATAGAATAGAATAGAATAGAATAGAATAGAATAGAATAGAATAGAATAGAATAGAATAGACAGATTGTAGAATAGAGTAGAATAGAATGGAATGGAATGGAATGGAATGGAATGGAATAGAATAGAATAGAATAGAATAGAATAGAATAGAATAGAATAGAATAGAATAGAATAGAATAGAATAGAAACTTCATTGTCACTTTAAATTTACACTAATCAGCATACATTAAAATGAAACTGTGTTGCATTCAACTCTCAAAAAATACCATTATGCATATATCCACATACCACACACATATATGACACAGAGAAACATCACAATCTAGAATAGAATAGAGCTGGAAGGGACCTTGGAGGTCTTCTAGTCCAGCCCCCTATACCTATACCATCTCAGACAGGTGAATCTCCAGTGATGGAGCACCCACGATTTCTGGGGATATGCTGTTCCATTGGTTGATTGTCCTCACTGTCAGAAAGTTTCTCCTTAATACCAGGTTGCTTCTGTCTTTGATCAGTTTCCAACCATTGTTTCTCATCCTTCCCTCTTGTGCTTTGGTGAACAACCTGGCCCCCTCTGCCTTGTGGCATCCCCTCAGATACTGGAACACTGCTATCATGTCTCCCTTATTTCTTCTTTTCTTTAGACTAGCCAAACCCAAGTCCCACAGCCGTTCTTCATATGTTTTAGTCTCCAGGACTTGGATCTTCTTAGTTGCTCTTCTCTGAATTTTTTTTTCCAAACTCAAAAGTGGCTGCAATATTCCAGGTGTGGCCTCACTAGGGTTTTGTAAAGCGGTACTAATACTTCGCGTGATCTTGATTCTACGCCTCTGTTTATGCAACTCAGGATTGTATTAGCTTTTTTTTGGTTGCTGCTGCACTAGTTCGAATGTATTGCAAGAGAGGCTGGATGCTGACCCGGGATGGTTGATTTTGTTTTTGTTTTTAAGGAGAAGACCGTGCACTGTGTTCTTCCTCCCAGGCTAACTTTCCACAGGCATGGAGAATCTAACGAGGAGAAGATACTGTAGACGTTTAAATAAAACTATGCACAAAGTGACGTTCCTCCGCTCACCCCTTCCCCAAGAATATCGCCTCGTGCGTTGAAAACTGGCAACAGACAGTAAAAGACTCTTTCGACATAAAGCCAAGATGATGTTTATGCTTTATCACATTCCATGTTCAAGGACAGGGTGTCACCCGACCACGAAGTTCTCAAGAAATGTGACTGTTCAAGCAGCTATTCAAAACAATCACCACATCCAAATCAACCTTCCATCAGATTGAGTTGAGGTCAGGCTGTCCGCTAATGGCTGCAGTCCTTCCTCTCTTCCCCAAACACTATGCTCTCCCCACAAATCTAGGGGGATACTGAGGATTAAGAAGAATTAAAGTCAAAAGGAATCTGATGAACAGGGGGGCTGAACCGCCCTCTTGCCTACAGACTTTGACAAAGGTTGAAGTCCTATGCTTTCTTTGCTTTGGCTTAAATGTCTGCTTCGTAAATGTGGCTTCAGGCTTACCGCAGTGTTTTTCAAGCTTAGGAATTTTACGATGTGGGGACTTCAGTGCCCGCTGGCTGGGGACTTCCGGGTGTTGAAGTCCACTCATCACAGACTTCCTAAGCTCCGAAACCCTGGCTTGGAGCAAAGGAAAGGGCAAATGGGTAGTACTCCAGAGGTTGCTGAACTACAACTGCTGACGTCTCTCGGCATTACTCAGTATTCCTAAGGATGCTGGGAGCTGTAGTTCACAGGCCAGGAAAAGGCTTTCCTGGGAAAGGGGACCCACCCAACAATCTCAGCTGGCTTTGTTTCAGCATGGGTGACTTTTTCGCCCATCTGGGTAGGGCGGGGGTCTCCAAACTTGGCCGCTTGTAAGACTTGTGGACTTCAACTCCCAGAATTCTGGGAAATTGAAGTCCACAAGTCTTAAAGCAGTGGTTCTCAACCTGTGGGTCGGGACCCCATTTGGGGTCGAATGACCATTTCACAGGGGTCGCCAAACAACGCAGTCCGCCATTTTTTCCCTCTTTTCCTTAGCTGTGCTACTCCCTTTTATTCTATTGGCTTTTGAAAGCCAATAGAATAGACTCTCTTGAATAGCCAATAGGAATTGTCCAGGCTGTCTCTGCCCTGCTGAGCCCGCCAAAAGTCCCATTCTGCAAACGGTGCTGCACCAGTGGAGTACTCCTCAACTCACGACCAGTTGAGTAATCCTCGGCTTACGACCGGTTGGGGGGTCGCAGCATTAAAAAGGTTGAGAACCACTGTCTTAAAGCGACCAAGTTGGAAGACCCCTGGGATAGGGAAGCAAAACAACAACCCCGAAAGCCCCTGACTATAATCCTCCCCCTTGATTTCTTTTCGAGAGGGGCTTTTTGACCCTCTGCCAGCTCAACCCCTCCCTCCCCTTGGCCCTTCCACGCCATACCCTTCTCAAGGCCTCCTTGGCCGCGGTCAGCTGCCCCTTGAAACTTTTCCTGCGGAACGCCTGCAAATTTTCAAAGTACTCTTCCTCCTGCTGCTGATCGTGGGCGAAGAGCGAATCCAGGAGCGTCTTCCGTCCGCAGACTTCCAAGGCCCAGCCGAAGTAGGCTTCCAAGCGCCGGCAGAGGCTCTCCAGCTCGCTCTCCCCCAAGACCGGGCAGCTGGGGAACAGCAGCGCCCAAAAGCCGCTGGGTCCGGTCAGCGCAGGGGGCAGGGCGGGGAAGCAGGGCTCCAGCTGCTGGCTCAAAGCCGCCAGCTGCCGATGGACGCCCACCAAGGCCTGCGGGGAGTACAAGCCGGCCCAGCTCAGCCGCTGCTCGTCCACGGCCTCTTCTTCTTCATCATCATCTTCTTTTTCCTCCTCCTCCTCCTCCTCCTCTTCCTCCTCCTCCTTCTCTGCGTCCTTCTCCGCGCCGGCTCGTTCTTGCAAAGTCCGGTTGTGACAAGTCACCGCGAACTTGCTCTCCACGGCGTTCCAAGCCACCAAGAAGCGCAGCTTGTGGGGGGGCTCGGGCTGGCCGAAGATGTTCTCCTTGATGGCCACCCAGCCCTCCAGGCTGTCCGGCTGCACCTCCTCCAGCTCCATGGGCGGCCCCGGGGATGCCCTTCAGCGTGGGTAGAGGGGGGGGAAGGAAAGAAAAGAAGGTGCGTCTCCCCCTTCGCGCGCCCCGTGGGGAGGGGAGACTTCAAAGGGGGTTGCCCCCCGCCGCGTTCTAGAATGCTCAGCAAACTTCGCTTCCCTTGGAACGAAAGAGAAAGTGTCCAGAATGACAGCCCTGGTTGGTTGGTTGGGTTGGTTGGCTTCCTCCTCTGACGCCACGCGCGGCTGTCTCGGCTCTTAATTGGCTGCCCGGCTTCCCGGGGGTGTGGAGGGGGAAGCGAGCTCTGAACTCGCGGGGACGCGTGATTCCCTCTTCGGTCAACCAATCCCGGGTGGGCAGGGCAAGGCTTGGAGAGAGGCGTCTCCGGACGACTGCCAGAGATGCCTGGCGCGCTTCTCCGTCTCTCCCCCGCCTTCTTCTTCTTCTTCTTCTTCTTCTTTTTTGGCTATGATTTTAGGAGGGGAAAGGATTTTTTAGGAGCTGGGTAACAAGGCCAGAAATTGTGAAGAACTGGAAAGCAGAGGGCTTTTTCCTTCATTCTTTGCTATTAATGAGTAGAACAGAACAGAATAAAACAGAAATAGGGAGTAGAGTAGAGTAGAGTAGAGTAGAGTAGAATAGAATAGAATAGAATAGAATAGAATAGAATAGAATAGAATAGAATAGAATAGAATAGAATAGAATAGAATAGAATAGATGAGAATGGAGAATAGAATAGAATAGAATAGAATAGAATAGAATGGAATGGAATGGAATGGAATGGAATGGAGAATAGAATAGAATAGAATAGAATAGAATAGAATATAGGATAGGATAGAATAGAATAGAATAGAATAGAATAGAATAGAATAGAATAGAATAGAATAGAATAGAATTAGGGAATAGGGAGTAGAGTAGAGTAGAATAGAATAGAATAGAATAGAATAGAATAGAATAGAATAGAATAGAATGTGGAATGGAAATAGAATATAGAATAGAATAGAATAGAATAGAATAGAATAGAATAGAATAGAATAGAATAGATGGAATGGAGAATAGAATAGAATAGAATGGAATGGAATGGAATGGAATGGAGAATAGAATAGAATAGAATAGAATAGAATAGAATAGAATAGAATAGAATAGAATAGAATAGAATAGAATAGAATATAGGATAGGATAGGATAGAATAGAATAGAATAGAATAGAATAGAATAGAATAGAATAGAATAGAATTAGGGAATAGGGAGTAGAGTAGTTGAATTCGAGAGATAGTTTTATACAGAGGTGTGTGATGCTTTAGAGCTTCTCTGGGGAAGGATTGTGTTTGCTCAAGATCGGACACAGGTACTTCTGCTTGTGTTAAGACAAATAAAATTGTGGATCTTCGCTTAGTTGCCCACAAATGTTAGAAGAATTATATAATTGGTCATAATTTTCTAGAGCAGCCAGGGTCTGGCATTTTGATGAACAGAATTCACAAAAATTTCCAAAACGGAATGGCGCTTCCTCAGATACTGAGGCGTGGAAGGGGAGGGTGAAATGTAAGAAAGAAAATTGACCAGGGGTCCAAAAGGAAATTAGATTTTTTCCCCATAGTTTCATTTGCAGCACTGCATGAAAGAACATAAATATAATGACAAATATTTATCATTCAAACATAAACCATAACTGTCACTAAGCGTTAATATTTTCTGCACTTGTGGTTTTCTTTGTTTGTTTATTTTTTACTGCTTTTGGATATACAGTAGGGACTATGTTTCAGAATCTAAAAAAGCCTGTTCTTTACTAGAGGAATAATACTCTTTGGAGAACCAATTTTCATTTATTCAGTTAGTTACTTTGTTATTAAATTTATATGCCACCCATCTCATTGTTGAGAAACCCTGGATGACATAGTCAAAATTATTCATATACAAATTTGCTCCTGCCAAGTGATTGACTATTTTTTCTTTAGCCTTCCATCCTTCTGAGGTTGGTGAAATGAAGAGCTAGATTGTTGGGGACAATATGCTTACTTTGTAAACCGCTTAGAGAGGGCTGTAAAGCACTATGAAGCAGTATATACATCTAAGTGCTATTGCTTGCAAAGGAAGGAAGGAAGCCATAGTGGCAGTTGTTAAAACGCAGTATTGCAGGCTGACTGCCCACAGCCTGGAGTTTGATCCTGATGGGGCTGGAGGTTGACTCAGCCTTCCATCCTTTCCAAGGTTGCTAAAATGAGGATCCAGATTGTTGGGGATAATATGCTGACTCTGTAAACTGCTCGGAGAGGGCTGTAAAGCACTGTGAAGCGGAATGTACTGTAAGTCTAAGTGCTATTGCTATTATATCTTCTTTCTCTTTATGTTCTGTAGCAACTCTACCACAGTAGATATTTTACTAATACATACATGGTGTTCCATGAAACTACCAATCTGACTTTGGTAATATTACATATCCGCAAAATATGGAGTCTATTAGTTCCTAATTCTCTCTATCCTTACAGTTGGCAATTGATGCTACTATAATGCTTTTTCTTCCAGAGTTTTTAAAGAAGATATTTTGTTTTTTTTTTTAAATGGATCTCTTGGGATTCAAAACTTTCAGGCCTTGATGTTTTCAATAGGATTTGGATGTGACATTTTCTTCCATGACGTTTAAGGGAGCTTCAGTGGCAGGTGCTGATCTATCTTTACTCCCTTGCTAATAGCAGGCATGCTATTCATGGAGGGAGGGAGGAACACCCCTTGTCTAATGTTACAGCACTAAGTTTTCAGTTACAGAAAGATGGCAAGATCTTAAAAATCAAGTCTTGATATGGAGGAAGCGAAATGCATCACTTATCATTTCACCATGAAGAAGAAGTTATGGATCCTTAACAGAAAAGGCAAGTCTTCTTTTTAAGAACATAATTCCTCACTTTAAAAAGATGCAATTTTTTTCAGGCTCGGCCACTTAAAAATGCTGCCTCGGTGTTTGCTCCCAACATACAATCTTTCTTTAAGATCTCCTAGCTGATCAAGTAATTTCAATTCAGGGCAATTGGACAAGCAGTGTTTCCTTAACAATACACCACACACACCAACGTATTGTCCCACATGCCTGTCGGAAATGTTTTGAAATCTCTTCGGTGTGTAGCTTGATAGATTGAACTGAAACAAATGCTTGACTTTATACTGTATAATGATGTTTAATGTTCCTTTGACTGTCTCGCAGGAGCAACATTTAACGGAACCCTGCTTGAAATAGAAGAGGGAAATATTTTGCTCTCTATTTAGAATTGATTTGATCTGTACTGTTGCCTTTATTTACTCTTATCGTCTTTTTCCTGGATGTCCTCTGAGCAGGGGCAGGACTCTTATAGAGGCAGGTCTCTGACTTTGTCACGCTAAGTTAGTACACAAATTTAAATCATAAGGAAAGGTTAGCCAAATGCTCTCCTTGTTGTCCTTGACAGCAGACCACGTTCTGAGATTCCCCCTTAGACCACAATGGGCTTAAATCTGGTAACACAATTTCCTATCTTTCTGAAAGAGAAAAAAATACACAGGCAGTCCTTGACTTATAATAGAGCCCAATATTTCTGTGGCTAGGTGAGACAATTGTTAAGCGAGCTTTGCCCCTTTTTACAACCTTCCTTATCAGAGGCGTTAAGTGAGTCACTGCAGCTGTCGTAAGTTAGTAACACGGTCGTTAAGCAGGTCTGGATTCCCCCGTGACTTTGCTCGTCAGATGTTCACAAAAGGGGAATCACATGATCCCGGGACACTGCGACCATCATAAATATGAATCAGTTGCCATGCATCCAAATTTTGATCACGTGACCATAAGGATGCTGCACTTTTTTCCAGGGTTTTCCCGCTGTATGTAACTTCAAACAGTCATTTACTGTTGTAAATTGAGGACTACCTGCACTGGAAGCCCAAAATAATGTATTTTAAAAAGAAAAGAAATCAACCAGAAAGGAAAGAAACTAAACATACTAAGTCCATCTGCGTATATGATAGAATTTCACCTACATAATACCATTGTTCCAATCCAGCAACCTCTGACTATCAGAAAATTAACTGGCGTTCTACATGTTTTTGTTCCTTATTATCTGTATCCCAGGCATCCAGATCTTCCATGTCGCATCCTGATACATCTATGCTTTTTTCTTGGCAAGAGAATGGAAGTGGGTTGATGTTACCGTCTTCCCAAAGGTTTACGCTAATTCCCAGTATTTCCAGTCTCATTGGATTTCCCTGGGGTCTCCTGATACGAATCAACCGGATCCTTCTTACCTTTTTGGGATGTGAAATATATATTCCATTGTGTGTTGTACTTTTATTGTTCTTACAGGGGCTTGATAGCAGAAAGTTGGGAGGCAGCCCACAAGACCTTTTCTTGGCCTGTTGACTTGGTGTCCAATATTCTTTCTCCACAATGGACTCTCCATTGAAAAAGAACGAGCCGGACAGTCCCAGATTTTATCACTTGGAACTTTATGACTCCCTTGAAGATATCCTTCCCGAGGAACCATTTAGAAGGCGAGATCTGTCTGTGTCTGAAAACAGGGCCACCCAAGATGTAGAGAAGCAACGCCCATGCCATGCGGAGTGTCAGGATCAGCAACTCACAGACGACACGAGAGAAGAGAATGACAAGGGTGACAATAATGTTCTTGAGGATAAGGATGAAAGCAGACAGTCCTACCAAGAGGAAGAACTATATTGCATTACTTGCTGTGTTCCAGTAACAGCCTTTAATAGCAAGTGTAATAAACATCAAGAGCACGAAGTCATGTCCCTTGCGGCTGTGGTGGAAATCGCAAAGGTGAGGACATTGTAAGCCGATCCTGGTAGGAAGCAGGAAGCATTTAGCTAAGGCAATATTGCAAGATATCTAATCATGTTTTGTTTTGAAAGGATGAGCTTCAGAAAAACATTGGCCAGTTGGAAGATCAAATCGCTCACCTGGAGAGTTTTGCTAGCCACTTGGAGGAAATTTTTATTACTGTAGAGGTAAGATGCTCTCAGGAGCTAAGTTCATGGTTTTAAGTGAACTGGAAAGGAAGGTCCACCAGCCTCTTGCCATCTCATGCATGGATAAAGAAGGTGTTATGGTTTGTTTGTTTGTTTCACGACCTGTTTTCCTTGTTCCCTTCTGGGAGGAGGCTTCGTGGTATCCGTAGCAGAACATCCAGATTCAGCCACAGTTTCATCCCATAC